CCGTGAAGACATCTTTTCAAATAAACCTGAGAGATACGTTTAGAATTTTCAAAAATGTTCGAAAAGTTTCCAAAAAAATTCTTAAAATGGCATTAATCGAATCAAAGTTGGTGTCAAGTTGTAGATAATCATTCGCCAATTGCAAATCCGAAAACGCCGAGACGACATTGTTTCAAATGAACTTGAAAGGTAGCTTTAAATTTTTCAAAAATTTTCCAAAAAAATTGTTAAAATAGTAATAATAATCGAGTCAAAATTGATGTCAAATTCTAGATAATCATCTGCCAACTACAAATCGAAAACGCTGTCAACATATTTTTTCAAAGAAACGTGTAAAGTGGTTTTAAAATTTTCAAAAATTTTCCAAAAAAGTAGTTAGAATCGGTTGAATCGACTCAAAAGTCGTCTCAAATTGTAGATAATCATCCGAAAATTACAATCCAAAACGCTGTCAAAATATTTTTTCAACTAAACGCTGTCAAGATATTTTTTCAACTAAACGTGAAAAGTGATTTTGAAATTTTCAAAAATTTTCCAAAAAATTAGTTCAAATACCTTTAAATCACTCAAAATTGGTGTCAAATTGTTGATAATCATCCGTCAGTCATAAATTCGAAACTGCTGTCGAAATATTTTTTCAAATAAACGTGAAAAGTGGTTTAGAAATTTTCAAAAATTTTCCAAAAAATTAGTTCAAATACCTTTAAATCACTCAAAATTGGTGTCAAATTGTTGATAATCATCCGTCAGTCATAAATTCGAAACTGCTGTCGAAATATTTTTTCAAATAAACGTGAAAAGTGGTTTAGAAATTTTCAAAAATTTTCCAAAAAAATAGTTAAAATTGTTTTAATCGACTCGAAATTGGTGTCAAACTACAGATAATCGTCTGCCAATCGCAAATCCAAAAACGCCGTGAAGACATCTTTTCAAATAAACCTGAGAGATACGTTTAGAATTTTCAAAAATGTTCCAAAAGTTTCCAAAAAAATTCTTAAAATGGCTTTAATCGAATCAAAGTTGGTGTCAAATTGTAGATAATCATTCGCCAATTGCAAATCCTGAAACGCCGAGACGACATTGTTTCAAATGAACTTGAAAGGTAGCTCTAAATATTACAAAAATTTTCCAAAAAAATTGTTAAAATAGTAAAAATAATCGAGTGAAAATTGATGTCAAATTCTAGATAATCATCTGCGAATTACATATCGAAAACGCTGTCAACATATTTTTTCAAAGAAACGTGTAAAGTGGTTTTGAAGTTTTCAAAAATTTTCATAAAAAGTAGTTAAAATCGGTTGAATCGACTCAAAAGTCGTGTCAAATTGTAGATAATCATCCGCAAATTACAAATCCAAAACGCTGTCAAGATATTTTTTCAACTTAACGTGAAAAGTGATTTTGAAATTTTCAAAAATGTCCCAAAAAATTAGTTCAAATACCTTTAAATCACTCAAAATTGGTGTCAAATTGTTGATAATCATCCGTCAATTATAAATTCGAAACCTCTGTTGAAATATTTTTTCAACTAAACGTGAAGTGGTTTAGAAATTTTCAAAAATTTTCCAAAAAAATATTTAAAATAGCTTCAATCGACTCAAGTTGGTGTCAAATTGTAGCTAATCATCCGCCAATTGCAAATCCGAAAACGCAGTCAAGATATTTTGTCAAACAAACGTGAAGAGTGATTTTGAAATTTGCAAAAATTTTCCAAAAAAATAATTTAAATAGCTTTAATCGACTGAAAATTGGTGTCAAATTGTGTAAAATCATCTGCCAATTGCAAATCCGAAAACGTCGTGACGATATCTTTTCAAATAAACTTGAAAGATAGGTTTAAAATTTTCAAAAATTTTCCAACTAAATTCTTAAAATGGCTTGAATCGAATCAAAGTTGGTGTCAAATTGTAGATAATAATCATTCGCCAATTGCAAATCCGAAAACGCCGAGACGACATTGTTTCAAATGAATTTGAAAGGTAGCTCTAAATATTACAAACATTTTCCAAAAAAATTGTTAAAATAGTAATAATAATCGAGTCAAAATTGATGTCAAATTCTAGATAATCATCTGCCAACTACAAATCGAAAACGCTGTCAACATATTTTTTCAAAGAAACGTGTAAAGTGGTTTTAAAATTTTCAAAAATTTTCCAAAAAAGTAGTTAGAATCGGTTGAATCGACTCAAAAGTCGTCTCAAATTGTAGATAATCATCCGAAAATTACAATCCAAAACGCTGTCAAAATATTTTTTCAACTAAACGTGAAAAGTGATTTTGAAATTTTCAAACATTTTCCAAAAAATTAGTTCAAATACCTTTAATCGACTCAAAATTGATCAGCCAATTGCATTTCCGAAAACGTCATGAGGATATCTTTTAAATAAAGTTGAAAGATAGGTTTAAAATTTTCAAACATTTTTCAATAAAATTCTTAAAATGGCTTCAATCGAATCAAAGTTAGTGTCAAATTGTAGTTTATCATCTGCCAATTACAAATCCGAAAACGCGGTCAATTTATTTTTTCAAATAAACGTGAAAAGTGGTTTTGAAACTTTCAAAAATTTTCAAAAAAAAAAATAGTTAAAATAGCTTTAATCGACCCAAAATTGGTGTCAAATTGTTGATAATCATGCGCCAATTGGAAATCCGAAGACGCCGCGACGACATCTTTTGAAAGAAACTTGAGAGATAGGTTTAAAATTTTCAAAAATTTTCCAAAAAAATTCTTAAAATGGCTTTAATCGAATCAAAGTTGGTGTCAAATTGTAGATAATCATCCGCCAATTACAAATCCGAAACCGCTGTCAACATATTTTTTCAAATAAACGTGAAAAGAGATTTTGAAATTTTCAAAAATTTTCCAAAAAAACTGGTATAAATAGCTTTAATCGTATCGAAATTGGTGTCAAATTGTAGATAATCATCTGCAAATTACAAATCCGACACCGCTGTCAAGATATTTTTTCAAAGAAACGTGAAAAGTGGTTTAGAAATTTTCAAAAATTTTCCAAAAAAATTGTTCACATAGCTTTAATCGACTCAAAATTGATGTCAAAGTGTAGATAATCATTCGCCAATTGCAAATCCAAAAACGCCGTGACGATAGATTTTCAAATAAAGTTAAGAGAATTTTTCAAAATTTCATTCAAAAACGTCAAAAGTGGTTTTGAAATTTTCAAAAATTTTCCAATTAAATAGTTAAAATAGCTTTAATCGACTCAAGATTGTTGTCAAACTGTACATATTCATCCGCCAATTATAAATCCAAAACCACTGTCTAGAAATTTTTTTCCAATAAACGTGAAAAGTGGTTTAGAAATGTTCAAAAATTTCCCAAAGAAATATTTTAAATAGCTTCAATCGACTCAAAATTGGTGTCAAATTGTAGACAACTTGAAAGAAAGGTTCAAAAATTTTCAAAAAATTTCCAAAAAAAATGGTTCAAATGGCTTTAATCAACTCAAAATTGGTGCCAAATTGTAAATAATCATCCGCCAATTGCAAATCCAAAACCACTGTCTAGAGATTTTTTCCCATAAACGTGAAAACTGGTTTAGAAATTTTCAAAAATTTTCCAAAGAAATATTTTAAATAGCTTCAATCGACTCAAAATTGGTGTCAAATTGTAGACAACTTGAAAGAAAGGTTCAAAAATTTTCAAAAATTAAAAAAAAATGGTTCAAATGGCTTTAATCAACTCAAAAGTGGTGCCAAATTGTAGATAATCATCCGCCAAATGCAAACCCAAAACCGCTGTCAAGATATTTTTTCAAATAAACGTCAAAAGTGGTATTGAAATTTTCAAAAATTTTCCAATAAAATAGTTAAAATAGCTTTAATCGACTCAAAATTGTTGTCAAACTGTAGATATTCATCCGCCAATTATAAATCCAAATAATAGATAATCATCCGGTAATTCCAAATCCGAAAATGCTGTCAAGAATTTTTTTCAAATATACATGAAAAGTGGTTTTGAAAATTTCAAAATTTTTCCAAAAAATGGTTAAAATTGAAAACTGAAAAATTAAAACTCGAGACAAAAATTGAAAGATGATGAGATTAAAAATCCGATTAATCGAAAAATTAAAAATCGAGAAATTGAAAAACTAAAGCTCGATATAATGAAAAATTAAAGATCGAGAATTTGAAAATTTAAAAAATCGAAAGCTTAAAAGACCTAAAACATGAAAAATCAAAAAATTTATAAATTGAAAGTTGGAAAACTCGAAAAATTAAAAATGGATAAAATGAAAATTAAAGAGCGAGAACTTGAAAAATCGAAAAGTTGAAAAATTGAAAAATTTGAAATGAAATGAAAACTAAAAAGATCGACGACTTGAAAATTTGAAAAATCGAAAAATTTAAAAAACGAAAAATTGAAAGAATCGAAAAATTCGAAATCCAGAAATCGGAAAATTAAAAATCGAGAAATTAAAATATTCAAAAATTGGTGTTATTTAAAAAATACTCAAACCACAAAATAGAAATAAATACGATGAAAGCAATAATTTTTGAATTTGCGGCATTCGGCACGAGTGCAGAAATTAATATCCGCTAATATCAACAGCCGGTGAAGTCAGTCTATGTTATACTTTAAGAAGATTAATTTTGGATTTGAAATGCACTAGTTTCACCTCAAAACCCCAATCGACTTGCATATAAACCTATTATTTACCCAATAAACACGTGTTCGTGTAATGCTGATACCGATAATCCCCCAAATCCCTCCAATCATCTCCAAATTACCTCACTTGTCCAACTTTATCGATTTCTTTTTCCATAGCCCAATACCCACTCCCCCCCACCCAAACAAATAACCGTCCCCCGATACCGCTCCAAATCCCTTAAACCTCCAAGCAACTCCCGAACATCTCCACTCAAACTTTCCGCCGATTTACATCAAACCTCAGGTGTGCAACAACGCGCCCCACTTCATCCGTTAATCGCTCCAACTCCTAGGCAACAAAGCCCAACTTATCATCAAGTTTTCAACAAACCTGAGCTTGGGCAGCTCGCAGTAGACCCACTCCGACACGTCCTCGATCCGCACCTCCCGGTGCGTCGAGGTCAGGTCCAGCTTGTTCCCGGCGACCACGATCGGGATGTCCTGGTAGTCGCCCCGCTGCTCCCTGATCTCCTCGAAGCACTGCTTGATGCAGTCGAACGACGGCGCCGACGTGACGGCGTACACCAGCAGGAAGGCGTGAGCGGTGGCGATGCAGAGCCGCCGCATGGCAGGAAATTGCATGTCGCCGGCGGTGTCCAGGATGTCGACCTGGTATGGAAATTAAGTGGATTAACATTGCCGGGAGGCGGGACATCGAGCGGTTTTCTTTTAGGGATTCAGGAAGTTGGCAGGATCGGGGTGAAAATTCGTGTTTGCTGTCAATTTCAAGTTTGGCGTGTTGTTTGAAATATAGAGAGGGTATTTCAGTTTATTGTAGTTTTGATTTGTTATTTATTAAGAAGAAAATTAGCAAAAAGTATACATTTTTACTTTTTGGTAGGGAGTATTGTGGTGGCTCGTTCAACAAAATTACCTTGAAAGGATTATATATGGACGATTTTTTACTTTCACTTTCTGAAGGACATGAAATTGGCAAGGTAACTTTATTGCTGGTGTTAAATTAGCGTTATACTAAAACTTTTAGGCTTAGAATTACTCTCTATTATTATTTTAGGAAGTTCTAATTATATTGTTTGTTCGTATCTGCGTTTTGTACTATATGTCCTATGTGGGCGATTTGTAGTTATATGATCAATAAACTATTCTATTCTATTTAGGGACCAGGGTCACGCGGTCCAGGTCGTGCTCGTGGCTGTACAGATCCTTTTATTGTATTTATTTTTTCAATTATTCGATTCTTCAATGTTTCGATTTTATTATTTTTGGTTTTTTCAATTCTTTTAATCATAATTTTTGTTTCTGCAATTTGTAGATTTTGCGATTTTTTTAATTTCTCGAGTTAGCAAATTTTCGCTTTACAATTTTTCGTTACGGTTTTCTCCTACTTTATTTTTACAATTTTTTGATGTTCCAATTTATAATTTTTGTTTTTCCAATTTAAATTTTTAAATTTTTTCATTTCTTCAGTTTTTCGATTTGCAGTGTTTCTGCTTTTTATGTTAAATGGGTAATAATAATAATAATAATAACTATTAAAATTCTGCACTTTAAATTTTTCGATTTTAGAATGTTCTTATTTTTCAAATATTGGATTTTAAAACTTTTCCATTTATTCGACTTTTCAATTTTCCAATTTTTTGATTCTTCAAGTTTTCATTTCTTTATATTTTCATTTTGCAATTTTTAGTTTCGGTTTTTCTTTCCTTTACTCTTACAATTTTTCGATTTTTCAGTGTTTTGGTTTTGTAATTTTTGTTTTTTCAAATTCAATTTTTCGTTTCTCTAATTTTCGATTTGCAATTTTTCGTTTCAGTTTTTTATTGTTTTTACTTTTACAATTTTTCGCGTTTTTTATTTTTATTTATAGGTATCTAATAATAATAATAATTTTAAATTTTTTTCACTTTTTCAATTTCACGATTTTAGAATATTTGCCATTTTTCAATTACTGAGTTTTAAAACTTTTTCATTCATTCGATTTTTCAATTTTTGGATTTTTAATTTTTCAATTTTTCGATTTTTCAATCTTTCATTTTTTCAAATTTTCGATCTGCGATTTTTAGTTTCGGGTTTTTATTTGCCTTATTTTAACAACTTTTCATTATTCAATTTTTCGATTTTCCAACTTTCGGTGATTCAATTTTTAGTTTTTGCATTTTTTTTTGTACCATGACAAATTTCCACTTTTTAATTTTTTAATTTTTCGATTTCCCAACTTTTAGATTTTCTAATTTTTCGGTTCCTCAATTTTTGATTTTCAATTTTTTTAGTTTTCAATTTTGTCATTCTTCGTTTTTCATTTCTTGAAATTTCCGCCTTGCAATTTTTCGTTTCGGTTTTTATTCTATTTAGTTTTGCAATTTTTCAACTTTTAGACATTTTATTTTTTCGTTTCTTCAATTTTTGATTTCCAGTTTTTCTAATTTTCATTTATATGTAATAATTAATAGTAATTTAAAAAAAAATCAGGTTTTCAATTTTACCATTCTAGAATTTTTCCATTTTTCAATTATAGAGTTTTAAAACTTTTACACTTTTTCGATTGTTCAATTTTTGGATTTTTCAATCTTACAGTTTCTTGATTTTACAATTTTGATGATTCTAAAATTTTTCGATTTTCAGGTTTTCCAATTTTTCGATTTGCCATTTTTTGATTTTGCAATTTTTCGTTTTTTCAGTTTTCCGATTTTTCCAATTTTCAACTTGTCGGATAAAAAAAATGAAAAACCAAAATATTAAAAATCAAAAATTAAAAAACGGAAATGTATAAAATGAAAATTTTGAAGAATCTAAAAATTGGAAATCAAAAACTTAAAAAATTAAACAAACGAAATTTGAAAAATTGGAAGATTAAAAAATTGAAAACTTAAAAATTGAGAAACTTAAAAATTGAAAAAATAAAATATGGATTAGAAAATCGAAAAATTGAAAAATCAAAAAATTAAAATCGTTAATTTGACAAAACGAAAAGTCAAAAATTTTAAAAATTATACAATTGTAGAAAATCGAAATATGGCAAATTCGTGGATTCAAAAAACTCGAAAAGTTGAAAAAACGATAATTTTAAAAATAGAGAACTTGAAAATTTGATAATTTAAAAGTTGCATAATTGTAAAATTAAAGATTCGAAAAGTTTAAATTTTTAAATGTTGATCGAAAATTTGCAAAATCGTAAATTTGAAAAATCGAAAAACCAAAAATGTGACAAATCTTACAAAAATTTAAAAATTTAGAGACTGAAAAATTAATTAAATTCGGAGAACAAGAAAATCGAAATATTGAAAAATGCAAAAATTTTCTGGAGTTTTTGTTTTTCGGTGTTTGAATTTTTCATTATCATTAGTTCTTCGATTTACAGTTTTTCGATTTTGGAATTTTTCGTTTTTTCAGTTTTTCGAATTTTCAAATTTTCAACTTTTCGAACAAAAAAATTGAAAAATTGCAAAATAGTAAAAATCAAAACTTAAAATAAAGAAAAATATAAAATGAAAAATTTGAAAAATCTAAAAATTGGAAATCAAAAAATTAAAAATTAAAGAAACGAAAATTGAAAAATCGGAAGATTAAAAATTGAAAAATTGAAAAATCAAAAGATTGAAAAATCAAAAAATTGAAAAGTCAAAAAATTAAAATCGTCAATTTGACAAATCGAAAAGTCAAAAATGTTGAAAATTTCGTAACTGAAAAATCGAAAAATTAAAAATTTAGAAATTAAAGATTTAAAAAATTGTAAAATTGTAGAAAACCGAAATATGGCAGATTCGTGAATTTAAAAATACTCGAAAAGTTGAAGCAACGAAAATTTGAAAAATCGAGAACTTGAAATTTCGATAATTTAACAATTGCATAAATGTAAAATAAAAAAATTGAAAAACTGAAAAATTGGAAAAGCGTAAATTTGAAAAGTCAAAAAGTCAAAAATATGGAAAATGTCACAAGAATTTAAAAATTAAGAGCCTGAAAAATTAATTCAAGTCAAGAAACAAGAAAATAGAAAAGAAAAACCGAAATATTGAAAAAAATGCAAAAGTTGTCTCGAGTTTTTGTTTTTCAGTGTTCCAATTTTTCTTTCATTAGTTCTTCGATTCCCAATTTTTTGATTTTGCAATTTTTTTGTTTTTTCAGTTTTTCGATTTTTCAGCTTTTCAAATACAATAAAATGAAAAATCGCAAAATCGTAGAACTGAAAATTCAGGCATGAAAAAACGAAAAGTATAAAATGAAATCTGAAAAATTTAAAGAAACGTAAAAATTGGAAAAACACAATATGGATCGGAAAATCTAAAAATTGAAAGATTAAAAAATTGAAAAATCCAAAAATTGCAAAACAGTCAATTTGACTAATCGAAAAGTCAAACCATACCTGAAATATAATTGAAAATTCAAAAAATTAAAAATTGAAAAAATAAAAAAAATTAAACATTGTAATATTATAGAAAATGGCAAATTCGTGAATTCAAAGGCCGACAAGTCGAGGAAACAAAAATTTGAAAAATCGAGAATTTGATAATTTAAAAATTGCATAGTTGTAATATTAAAAAATTGAAAAACTGAAGAGTCGAAAAGTCAAAATTTCTAAATATTGATCGAAAAATTGTAAAATCGATAATTTGAAAAGTCAGAAAATCAAAAATTTTAAAAATCTCACATACATTTAAAAGTCCAGACTGAAAAATTAATTAAAGCCCAGAAACAAGGAAATTAAAAAAAATCCAAATATTGAAAAATGTAAAAGTTTTGTCAAATTTTTGTTTTTCAGTGTGTCAATTTTTCGTTTCGGTTTTTTATTCCCTTTAGTTTTACAATTGTTCAATTTTATCGTTTTAGAATTTTTCCATATTTCAATTACTGCATCTTAAAACATTCATTTTTTTTAATTTTTTGTTATGTAATGTTTCAATTTTTCGATCTTTCAATGTTACAGCTTTTGGCTTTATAATTTTGACATTCTAAAATTTTTCGATTTTACAATTTTTGAGTTTTCCAATTTTTTGATTTTAGAATTTTTCGTTTTTCAAGTTTTTCGATTTTTTAATTTTTCAAATTTTCCAATATAAAAACGGAATAACTGCAAGGTAGTAAAAACCAAAAATTAAGAACGAAGTATATAATGAAAAGTTTGAAAAATGTAAAAATTGGGAATCAAGAATTTAAAAAATTAAAAAACGAAAATTGAAAAATCGGAAGATTAAAAATTGAGAAACTTAAAAATTGCAAAAACAAAATATGGATCGGAAAATCGAAAAATTGAAATATAAAAAAAGGAAAAATGGAAAAATTTCAAAATCGCCAACTGGACAAATCGAAAAGTCAAAAACGTTGAAAATCTCATAAATGAAAAATTAAAAATTGCGAAATCAAAAAAAACCTCGAAAAGTTGAAGAAACGAAAATTTGAAAATTTGAAAATTTACAAATTGCGTAGTTCTAAAATAAAAAATTGAAAAACTGAAAAATCGAAAGTTTAAATTTTTAAATGGTGATCGAAAAAATGGAACATCGTAAATTTGAAAAGTCGAAAAGTCAAAAATGTGAAAGATCTAAAAATTACGACACTGAAAAATGAATTGAAAAAATGGCTAAAGTTTTCTCCAGTTTTTGTTTTTCAGTGTTTCAGTTTTTCGTTTCATTAGTTCTTCGATTCGGAATTTTTCGATTTTGGAATTTTTCGTTTTTTCAGTTTCTCGATTTTTCAAGTTTTCAAATAAAAAAAACGGGAAACTGCAAAATCGCAAAACTGAAAAATTAAAGAAATGAAAATTGAAAAATCGGAACATTAAAAATTAAGAAGAAAAAAATTAAAATCTAAAACTTGACAAATTGAAAAACTGAAAAATCGAAAAATTGCAAAATCGTCAATTTGGAAAGTCAAAAAATCAGAAATGTGAAAAATCTCACAAAAATGTAAAAATTCGGAGACTAAAAAATTAATGAAAGTCGAGAAACAAGAAAATCGAAAAGAAAAATCGAAATATTGAAAAATGTAAGTTTTTTTAAATTTTTGTTTTTCAGTGTTTCAGTTTTTCGTTTCATTAGTTCCTCGATTTGCAAGTTTTCGATTTTTCAAATAAAAAAAAAAGGAAATCGAAAAACTGAGAATTCAGAAATGAAGAAACGAAATGTATAAAATGAAAAATCTAAAAATTCGAAATCAAGAACTTGAAAAGAAAAATTGAAGTTGAAAAAATTAGCAGCTTAGAGCATTCGATTTCGCAGTTTAAAAGTTAAATTGCAAAACTTTGTAACACAATTTTGATTTTTTTCCGAAAATCTGGACGTCTAGGGTGAAAACTCAAGACGGATTCATACTTTTGACTTTGTAAGGGAGTATTGTGATGGCTCCTTAAAAAAACACCTTGAAACGCCAATATATACTATGTCAAGAGTTTTTGCTTTCCTTTCTGAATTTAAAGGGCATGCAAACTAGTAAAGTACCTTTAGGGTCATGTGCCCCAGGTCGTACTCGCGATTGTACAGATCCTCGATAGTGCTCCTGTACTTGTCCGTGTAGGTATTCATAAGGAACCTCTTGATGATGCAGCTCTTGCCGACCCCAGCACCGCCCAGGATGACTAGGCGAATGCGCTCGTAGTCGGACATGGTAGTTCCGTTGTTGTTCATTGAACTGACTGTCGTCCGGGGTTTCTCAAACTTTCATTTCAGCATACTGGGCGTGGGGATTCCAGAAGGGTTGTGGCAAGTGCTGGCGATTTATTCAGGTTTGCCAATTTCGGAGCAATTAGCTCAGAAGGGTGACATCTGGCGGTGATGGATGATCGAGCCGGCTCTGGAAGAAAACGGGTATTTAGTATTCTCGATGCTCAGTTAATTTGTGCGAGGGTTAGTCTATCTGTTGTTGTTTCATTTAAGAAAATATTGCAGCGAAATTGGTGCGGATTTTTACTTTAGTGTTGTGGCGGTCGCTGTAACTTTTATAATATTCAGAGTTGGATGCAGCTGTGCACTGTATTTACAGCGTCGCATTACCAAGTTTACACCCGAAATATCGGTGGGGCGTTTTTCTTCATAACGCGAACACGAGGTTTCTGCTCGAGCGATTAGCTGTCTACAATCTCGAAATATAACAGCAGTTTCTCACGAAACACTTTAATAATACACCCGTCTGGCGCTCCGAGTACACTTTAGATTCGTTTTCACGTCTCCTTGAAACAATAAAAAATCTTAGAGTCAAGGTATGACAAGAAACTTCTGGTGCTCAAAACGGCTTTAATCTGTTTTTAGTAGTTCGATAAGAACGACTCCGGAATCGTACATTGTGGCCAAAGTTAAATGAGAATCGATCGGTTTGCATTGTCGCTTAATTAAAACGGCACATTAACGGAGATGGAAGAAATCATTGCCAAAAAAGTCATTACGAGAAAACAAAGCCGGAGAACGTGGTATTAGCCCGAGGATCGAAATAATTGAAAACTGTGTATGTTCGTTCTCTAAAGAGTTGTTTGTTTGAGGGAATGTCGTGTCGGAAAAATGAGTCGGGAGATGGAGCACACCTAAGGGCCTGGATAACGGAGATTTACATTTTCATTTGTGTCGTCTTCGGGGTTATGAGATTACTTAAATCCGTTTGTTTAGTCCTCCTGAAATGCCGCTTTCTAGATACTAGTGGAGGGAAAGTGAGATTTGGTCTTTGTTTTAATTATACATAGTATTCTTTAAACAACACGCTACTCAAACCCCTGTTTTTAATTTCTTGTGAAGAATTTATCTATTTAGCAGTGAAGCTCCGCCTCTTGGTTCACGGCGAATAAAAAAAAATCATCACAATTGAGACAGGGCGGGTGGGCGGGCTTAAATTTTTCCTTTTTGTTTTAATATTTGCAAACTTCTTTTCACAACATGAAACTTAAAACATATTTAAAATGAAAAATTCGTACAAGGAAATATTGATTTTGCAGTTAGGCTACGCTCCAGAATTCCAAAATCCATATTTCCTTGCAAAAATGTACCATTTTAACCATGTTTTAAGTTTCTTGTGAAAAGATGGCTATGTACGTTAAGAAAGAAAAAACAAAATATAAGCCCCGCCCACCCACCCTATCTCAATTCTGATGAGTTTTTTGTTCGTCGTGAGCCAAGAGGGCGGAGCTTAACTGCAAAATCCATATTTCCTTGCAAAAATTTACCATTTAAATGTGTTTTAAGTGTCTAAGAAAAAAAATCATCACAATTGAGATGGGGTGGGTGGGTGGGGTTTATATTTTGTCTTTGTTTTAATTATACATAGTATTCTTTAGAAATCGCAAGATTGAAGAGGAGAAAAATTGAAAAAACGTAAAACTCAAACATCGAAAAATTGAAAATCGGGAAACTGAAAAATTGAGAAATCGAAAAATTGAATAATAAAATACATAATCTGAAAAATCACAAAACTGAAATTCTGAAAAATTGAAAAATGAAAGAAAAACTCAATAATGGAAAAACCGAAACATCCGAAAATTGAGAAATTAAAAAATTGAAAAGTTGACACATCAAAAAGTCAAAAAAGTGAAGTCGTAAATCAAAACCTTAAAACATTGAAAAATTAAAAAATAAAAAACCTAAAAATTGAAGGATTGTAGAGATGAAAAATCGAAAAACAGAGATTATATAAAAGTCAAATTTGAAAAATTGAGAAATCGAAAAAGTGAAAATTGCGAAATTGAAAAATTGAAAAATTGCATAATAAATAAACTGAAAAATCCCAAAAATGAAATTTCGAAAAATTGAAAAATGTAAGAAAAATTAAAAAAGCCAAAAACTGAAATATCCAAAAACTGAGAAATTAAAACATTGAAAAATGAAAAGAACAAAAAACTGAAGTCGAAAAATCGAAAACCTGAAAAAATCGAAAAATTGAAAATTTAGAAAAGACAAAAATTGAAAAATCGTAAAATTGAAGTGAAGAAAAATTGAAAAAAACGTAAAACCGAAACATCGGAAAATTGAAAATCCAGAAATCGAGAAAAAGAGAAATTGTAAATTGTAATAATCTGAAAACTCCCAAAACTGAAATATCCAAAAACTGAGCACACCTAAGGGCCTGGATAACGGAGATTTACATTTTCATTTGTGTCGTCTTCGGGGTTATGAGATTACTTAAATCCGTTTGTTTAGTCCTCCTGAAATGCCGCTTTCTAGATACTAGTGGAGGGAAGGTGAGATTTTGTCTTTGTTTTAATTATACATAGTATTCTTTAAACAACACCTGTTTTTAATTTCTTGTGAAGAATTTATCTATTTAGCAGTGAAGCTCCGCCTCTTGGTTCACGGCGAATAAAAAAAAATCATTACAATTGAGACAAGGCGGGTGGGCGGGCTTAAATTTTTCCTTTTTGTTTTAATATTTGCAAACTTCTTTTCACAACATGAAACTTAAAACATATTTAAAATGAAAAATTCGTACAAGGAAATATTGATTTTGCAGTTAGGCTACGCTCCAGAATTCCAAAATCCATATTTCCTTGCAAAAATGTACCATTTTAACCATGTTTTAAGTTTCTTGTGAAAAGATGGCTATGTACGTTAAGAAAGAAAAAACAAAATATAAGCCCCGCCCACCCACCCTATCTCAATTCTGATGAGTTTTTTGTTCGTCGTGAGCCAAGAGGGCGGAGCTTAACTGCAAAATCCATATTTCCTTGCAAAAATTTACCATTTAAATGTGTTTTAAGTGTCTTAGAAAAAAAATCATCACAATTGAGATGGGGTGGGTGGGTGGGGTTTATATTTTGTCTTTGTTTTAATTATACATAGTATTCTTTAGAAATCGTAAAATTGAAGAGGAGAAAAATTGAAAAAACGTAAAACTCAAACATCGAAAAATTGAAAATCGGGAAACTGAAAAATTGAGAAATCGAAAAATTGAATAATAAAATACATAATCTGAAAAATCACAAAACTGAAATTCTGAAAAATTGAAAAATGAAAGAAAAACTCAATAATGGAAAAACCGAAACATCCGAAAATTGAGAAATTAAAAAATTGAAAAGTTGAGACATCAAAAATTCAAAAAATTGAAGTCGAAAATCAAAACCTTAAAACATTGAAAAATTAAAATATCAAAAACCTAAAAATTGAAGGATTGTAGAGATGAAAAATCGAAAAACAGAGATTATATAAAAGTCAAATTTGAAAAATTGAGAAATCGAAAAAGTGAAAATTGCGAAATTGAAAAATTGAAAAATTGCATAATAAATAAACTGAAAAATCCCAAAACTGAAATTTCGAAAAATTGAAAAATGTAAGAAACATTAAAAAAGCCAAAAACTGAAATATCCAAAAACTGAGAAATTAAAACATTGAAAAATGAAAAAAACAAAAAACTGAAGTCGAAAAATCGAAAACCTGAAAAAATCGAAAAATTGAAAATTTAGAAAAGACAAAAATTGAAAAATCGTAAAATTGAAGTGAAGAAAAATTGAAAAAAACGTAAAACCGAAACATCGGAAAATTGAAAATCCAGAAATCGAGAAAAAGAGAAATTGTAAATTGTAATAACCTGAAAACTCCCAAAACTGAAATATCCAAAAACTGAGCACACCTAAGGGCCTGGATAACGGAGATTTACATTTTCATTTGTGTCGTCTTCGGGGTTATGAGATTACTTAAATCCGTTTGTTTAGTCCTCCTAAAATGCCGCTTTCTAGATACTAGTGGAGGGAAGGTGAGATTTTGTCATGGTTTTAATTATACATAGTATTCTTTAAACAACACCTGTTTTTAATTTCTTGTGAAGAATTTATCTATTTAGCAGTGAAGCTCCGCCTCTTGGTTCACGGCGAATAAAAAAAAATCATCACAATTGAGACAGGGCGGGTGGGCGGGCTTAAATTTTTCCTTTTTGTTTTAATATTTGCAAACTTCTTTTCACAACATGAAACTTAAAACATATTTAAAATGAAAAATTCGTACAAGGAAATATTGATTTTGCAGTTAGGCTACGCTCCAGAATTCCAAAATCCATATTTCCTTGCAAAAATGTACCATTTTAACCATGTTTTAGGTTTCTTGTGAAAAGATGGCTATGTACGTTAAGAAAGAAATAACAAAATATAAGCCCCGCCCACCCACCCTATCTCAATTCTGATGATTTTTTTATTCGTCGTGAGCCAAGAGGGCGGAGTTTAACTGCAAAATCCATATTTCCTTGCAAAAATTTACCATTTAAATGTGTTTTAAGTGTCTAAGAAAAAAAATCATCACAATTGAGATGGGGTGGGTGGGTGGGGTTTATATTTTGTCTTTGTTTTAATTATACATAGTATTCTTTAGAAATCGCAAGATTGAAGCGGAGAAAAATTGAAAAAACGTAAAACTCAAACATCGAAAAATTGAAAATCGGGAAACTGAAAAATTGAGAAATCGAAAAATTGAATAATAAAATACATAATCTGAAAAATCACAAAACTGAAATTCTGAAAAATTGAAAAATGAAAGAAAAACTCAATAATGAAAAAACCGAAACATCGGAAAATTGAGAAATTAAAAAATTGAAAAGTTGAGACATCAAAAATTCAAAAAAGTGAAGTCGAAAATCATAACCTTAAAACATTGAAAAATTAAAAAATCAAAAACCTAAAAATTGAAGGATTGTAGAGATGAAAAATCGAAAAACGGAGATTATGTAAAAGTCAAATTTGAAAAATTGAGAAATCGAAAAAGTGAAAATTGCGAAATTGAAAAATTGAAAAATTGCATAATAAATAAATTGAAAAATCCCAAAACTGAAATTTCGAAAAATTGAAAAATGTAAGAAACATTAAAAAAGCCAAAAACTGAAATATCCAA